GAAGAAGGCACAACGGAATAGAGCTGAGAATATTGCAGGAACCGCACCCGGGAAATTGGGGGGGGAGCGCTGTTGTTGTTCTTGTTGTCGTGCGCTTGTATTAAAGTCGCCATGTTCTAATTAAACGTGCCGACGGGGTTGTATCAGTCGTCGGCAAAATCAATGTGGCTCCTATTTCTCTATGCGTTTGCGTTCGCCTTCTTGACCATACACAGCTGAACAGAGGAGCGAGCGAGCAGGGGAGGAAACAACCAAACGGACGGAAGGCACAACCAAAGAGGAGTCGGAGAAAAAAGTGGAATTCTACAGCTCTCCTCTCTCCCGCTCTTTGCGTTACATACGTATAAACGCGTGTGTGCAAACGAAATCAGGAAAGGAAAAAAAAAGGAACGATCGTTAACGAAACGCGAAGGGAACGTTGCGGAGACACAAAGAACGGTCGTAGTGCGATGGAAGAGGAGGAGAAGGACGAGGAGGAGAAGGAGGAAAATGAGGGAAGAGGAGGCAGATAGGAGAAAAATAAGCCGAGGAACACACGGTAGGTCAGTCTTGGTTGCCGGCGGTTGGCGAATTGGTCGGGTTGCCATGGCGAAGAGGGCCGGGGTGTTCGCCGGGTTCGGCGGGGTCCGCCCCAACGGGAAACCCCCATTCGGGAAATTCGCGGCGTCGCCACGCCGAACCATGCCGCGGTGCCGGAGGTTTAGCTCGGCTTGGCTAATCGATTCTGCTACCAATCAGCGCCAGCGCCGTTCCTCCACATCTTCCTCCGCTTCGCTCTCTACCTCTCACACACGTGCACATACACATTTACATTCTTTCTCCCTCTCTCCTTTCCTCTCTCCTCCCTCTTTTGCGTTTTTCTTTCTCTCTCTATCTGATACGTATTTTGTGCACCACCACTACTACCGTCATCACCACCGTTACCGCCACTCGCCGCCACGAGCTCCGGCTGTATCCAACACCCCGCCACCCCCACACCCATTTTACCATCGTCGACTCTACCTTCGTGCGCTGTTAGCGCTATCAACACTACCTCTACTTACATTCGCGCTCTTCTCCAACCGTCATCCCTCCGTATCTCATCCCTTGTGTGTGCTGCTCCAGTATCCGGATGCACCGCGAGCGGATGTAATAACGCATCGTGTCGAAGTTAAGGAGTACGTCTTGTTGGGAACAAGACGTAGAAAACATAGAAAATGAGCCATCCGTTTGCTCTTCATTAATCGAATTGTTTGCGAGAAAGAGTAACATTGTACCAGATTTTACGAGAGACAAACATTCATGTTTTGTGATCACTTGATACATCTGTATCGTAGAGGAAAGCTGATGTCCCTGTGCTATTTTATGCTCAAAAAAATGTTGTTCCATCTTTCACTCTTATTTACGACAAGAAATTATTGATCCTGTCATAAAAAATGAAATTTAAGATATACCAAGTATGCGCTGGATATTTAATTAAATCCGTCCTTTGTGAAAAAGTCCCAATCAAAACCACTATGATAAGCAATTTTTTATGTTAATTACATACTATTAATATAAAATTGTTAACAAAGATTCTAAATTTGATCTAGATCTAGATTTGATTTTTTTCTTTGCATGAAGTAAAAAAATAACAGTTTTCGAATTATAAACAATTATAAATAAAAGATTTTACAAAAATTATATTTCAGAAATGCAAAAGTAAAACAGAATCTCGTTTAATTTCACAAATAAATTTTGAGGAATTTATAATTTAAGAATTATAGTTCTGAATGACTATTTTTCTCGACATTTTACATGTTACATCTTTGTAATTGATTCATATATGAATTCCATATGTTTGATTAATAATTTAGGTAATAATTTCCCACATGTTCTGATTATCTATGTCTATTATCAATGATGATCTATCATCAATGTATTTTTTAAATCTCTTAAGAAGAAAAAGAAAAAATTTAAAAGAAAAAATTTTTGGTTTTAAACCGCTGCAATTCAAAGCTAATAAAAGTAATAATAAATAGTTGGGGTTTGTTATCGTGAATGTATATATAAATTCAAAAAATTATAAAATTATAAAATTATAATTTTAATTATAATTATAAAATTAAGGATTCTGTCTTACTGAGTATTGCTAGCATTCTATTATTCTTTTTTTAGATTTTTTATGCGTTATATAATTCTTTATCTTTTTTATATAAAAAAATACAAAGATACACTATATTAGACAAAAAGAACATACGCAATATCTCTTAGATGCGATTTAGATTGATTTCGATGAAATTTTAATTATTTTAATCAATGATTAATTTATCAAACAATATTTTTTTATAAATAGAATTATTAATTTTTGTTATATAACATACAGAAGAAAAGATTAAATTAGAAACTAACTGAATTATTTTATAAGCGATTCGACTGAATAAATCGTCACTATTTTATTAAATTTTATGGTCATTAAAGATAAACGTATTATATTAATTAACGCATCTACTTGAAATCGTTCGATTCGCGTGTTGTGTTGAAAACATAAAAATGTTACCTTATGTGTCTCCATTGCAATTGAATTCGAACTTCAAGTATTTAGATTTATCCAGTCTTTCTCAATCTGGAAATAATGGTCGGATTAATTTTTACAGGTATCACAAAAAAACCACAAAAAACAATTCAAATTTCGAAACTATCAATTTTTCTTGCTCACCTATTTGTTATTAGGATCAGCTAATTGTAATTTTATATAATAGAAGCGTCATCTGATGAGATTTACTGCGTACTACTCAAACAATATCATCGACAGACAAATTTGGTCATTAACCTGCATATTTGGAATATACAAGAAATGTAAGCGTGAATATCCTGAGAATATTCTGAAAATATACGTGAAATGATATAGTAATGTTTTGAGAACTTACGATTGATAAAATTATTTTTATATTTATATCGATAGTCGATAATATCTATAATCTTCATTTCTCTTTGTTAATAATCACGAAATCTAGAGCTAAAATATCATGGATGAGGGATGAGAGAGATATTTGATTTTCAAATCGATTTTCAAATTTCGACAAAACTCGAAAACAATTTGAACTTCTAATATCCGAGATATTTAGTACAAGAGCACATTTCTTCAATTAACTTCCTTCTTGTAATAAATTATGACATGAATTCCATTGATAAAATCTTATGGCCAGATTATAAGTATAAAAAAAATTTTTTTCTCTCGCAAAACTACAACTCTTTATCTCATCGATGGCAGTATGGCACGAAGCGAATAGCAATATTTTCAGGAAATTAATAGAAAAAAAGGATGGTTGTCAATGAACATAGAAGGCGCCAACGTACTCCGCGATGACGTGCTCCATATGATTCCTCTCTCTTTCTTTCTTTCTCTCTCTTCTCTTTCTCTCAAATACAATCATTCGCTTGTGTGGAAGTCATCGATATTTATTCCTCACTGGCTAATGGAAATGTCGAATGTTGTCTAGAAAGCACAGACATTTACTGACATAGATACGATCAGATACGTGGATTAAAATGAGCACGAAACATCTAAGTACCGGTATTAGAAGAATATTTATATCTCTCCGCGTGATTCATGTGAATTGCGCGATTGGCAAAGAAATAAGAATTCACCAATGTGTGTTCCTTCTTTCAGATTCGGCACTGCCGCCTCTCGTGCCCGACAAAATACGTCTATACAGTATGCGCTTTTGTCCATATGCGCAAAGGATACACCTGATATTGGATGCCAAACAAATTCCGTAAGCATGATCACATAACAAGTTATTTTTGATTCGTAACCTTTTTTCTGAAATATTAAACCATATTCGAAATTTTTTGTTGATGTATATTTTTTAAATTTAATATATATTTTAAATATTTAAAAAATTTTTTTATATGTTTTACGTTATAATTTTTCTAAATATTTTTATACATTTCTACGTACTTTGTATGTTGTCCTATTTTCAAATGTATAACACATGTTAATCTAACACAAAATATCCATTTTATAATAAAAAAGAATCTCAACCTATAGAAAATATTTTCTATTTACTCAATAATTGCCAAATGATTTTATATTTTATGTGTTTCTCTGTGTAATGTCTTTTTCTACATGCTTTGCTTTCAGGTACGACGTAGTATATGTAAATTTAACAAACAAACCAAATTGGTTGATAGAAAAGAGTCCTCTTAATAAAGTTCCTTGTATCGAACTGGAAGAAGGAAAAACATTATATGAAAGCCTAATTATTGCTGAATATTTAGATGAAGCTTATCCTGAAAATAAGTTATTTCCTAGTAATCCGTTGGCAAAAGCTCAGGATAAGTTATTGATTGATAGATTTCATGCGGTAATATCATCTATGTACAAGGTATTTATTATTGAAATCTTGTTTCAAAGTATTTATATATACCTACCTATGATTCTCAAATATGTTATTCTAATCTTATCATATTTAACTTTCAGGCACTTTATCTAGAAGCGGAATTAGCGCAAGATATGTTCAATGACGTATTAAATGATTTACAATTTTTTAATCGGGAATTGGTAGAGAGGAAAACTCCTTTCTTTGGAGGCAAAGAACCCGGTATGGTAGATTATATGATATGGCCGTGGTACGAAAGAGCAGATGTACTAAAATTAATAAAAGGGGAGCAATTTACCATACAAAAAAATTCTGTCCTGCAATTGGTAATTATTATAATATTGTTATTAGCAGATTGCACATAAATAATATCGTAATACCAATTTGTATGTAATATAGATTGAATGGATAGATGCCATGAAAGACAATCCTGTAGTGAAGAAAAGTTTTCTAAAAACTGAAATACATGCCAAATATGTACGCAGTCGTTTAGCTGGGACACCTCAGTATGATTTCATATGATCCATTCCATCTTGCGATATTTTAACTTCAAGCGTTATATCACTCGTATCTTACTATTTCAACCATAGCAAATTATATTTTATATAGCCATATAAATATAAATATATATATATAAATTTAAAAAATGTATAAATAGAAAAAAATTTGATTGTATAATATCTAAACCTAATATCTAAACCATGTGTATTAACTAGTTTATAAAAGAGGCATTTATTTTAAATGTTATATTAGTTAGCATATGAAAATAAAAATCTTTTTTACAGAAAAAAATACATTTGTTTTTATAATATATATATATATATAAAGATATATTTTTAGAAACAAGTATACATGTGATTGTAGGCCTGTTTCTTCTTTTTACATTGAGCTAAACTAAAATTCTTTTCTTACTTTCCTTATAAATTTTAAACATATATCTATTTCATTTTATATATAATAAAAGTACTTATTACTTTAATTGTAAAAAATAAACCTAGTGTTTATATATAGTGATGTTTATATATTGATATAATATATATTACTATATCTATTCTATTTAAATATCTCGATGTTATGACATTAGCAATCTTATTTGATTCAACGAGTATATATTATATAATTTGTAGTAAAAAAGATATCAAAATAAAAGTATTACAAATTTGTTTATAAAATGAATTCATAAATATTTATAAAATCTAGTGCATCAATTGGCAATTAGTGTAAACTATGTTCTCATAGTTGTATAAAAAACTTATAAAAAAATAGATAAATTAATATTACATTTTCGAAATATACATGCCTATTTTAGATTTTCTTGAAAATCATCAAATATATTCCATAAAAAAGGAAGCATACAAAGACCAAACACGCTGTTATCATGAAAGATTTAGAATTTTCTTTCCTCAAGCTTTGCAATTCCTTTTCATTTCGCCTGAGAACCTTCTTAACTTCCTCTAATTCGCCCTCCAATTTCTCTCGATCTTTCGCATTAAGCAATTTCGTCTTTAGTTTTCTCTCAATTACTTCGACCCTGTACAGGGTATCTTTCAGACTCTCCTCCACATGTTCCATCTGAAATATACGGACGATTAAGGTAATTTCACGATCAATTTTCATTTGACACAAGCTATTAAAAACGTTAGCCGGACAAGCTATTAAAAATGTTATCAATACCTTGCTAATGATAGTGTCACTTCGTGTCATTGTGTACAGTCCGGTATGTACGTGTACCTAATTTCCACCTTCGGTATTACACTCGCAAAAAAACTCTGAGAGTAATAATCACTCACAGAGTAATAATCCTTGTTGACAGATGTGACACACGCATGCGAGGAGATAAATTAAAGAGAGCAAACTGATGGTACATATTATATAGTCGGGAGTGCCATCACATTCAAAACATTACTCCAGTTCGCATCTAGATATGCCTGCACCATGATCATTAGTATTAAAAAGGAACAAGAAATTGTTTCGAAAGCTCTCGATCAAATTTCAATTAATTTATGATATTTCCAATTGGGGTTTAAGTTTTAATAAGTTCGAAATTAATAGCGTGGTTACTTTCAGGTATACACCGCCAGTATTGAAAATCTACAATATATGTAACAGGAACTATACATTTTCAATACGATACTAATGTATATCAGAACGCAGCTTATACGATCTACTTTGAAATGGACATAACAATTTTTTTGTTTGTTTCTATCTAGATTAAGTTTAATCTCAGTTTAATTTATTCTTTATTTTTTTCTAAATTTTTAGAATTGAAAAAAGATAGCAAGTTGAATCAAGATTAAAATTAATCTACATTGGTAAAGATGGGCTTTAACAGTTATAATTGTTAAACGATATTTATCAATTTATCTTTTATAATAAGAGGAGAATATAATTCAGATTTTTATATTGATTTTATATGTCACCTTTAACATTTTTCAACATACACTTTGCATAAATTCCTATGAACTGGATGAGGATGATAAGGGTACAAAATAGACGGTCTAAAATTCAGACAATTCAATATTTCATTGTTAATAATTATAAATATAATTTGTTTCATAACTTTAATGTATTATACAGAATAACCTTCGATCGCCAATGATTAGAGAGTTCAAATTACAATCTGTATATCCATGTCCAGAGAGACGTATTTTATGATTTTACAATAAACATATTCACACAGAAAGGATCGAGTAACTCGCTGCCTTCATTGTTATTTATCATATTAAAAAATAGTATCGACATTCTTTTTTTTCTTTGCTCAACAATTATAAAAAATGGTAATCAAACGGTGTTCGAAGCTTCAACTGATAAATAAAACATTAATAGAGGATAACAAAATAAATAAAGATGCAACAAATAGAACTATTAAGTTACCACTTGGTCTAGTTCATCAATCTTTCATCCTTGCGAGAAAATGGAAATCAACAAAAAGCAGCTTTCAAGCGAATAAATATTGGCAGCTAAAGCAATGAATGTTTCTCACACTTTCAAGCTAAAACATTACCATACGCATCTTCTGAACCTACAAAAAATTATATTCAGTATTTCATGAATTATTATTGCAAAGATAATGCAATGATATGTATATATCGTAAAATACAAATAATAATCAAATGTAAGTTGAGCAGCTCCTGAGTTTTATAGCAATAATATAGCGAGGAATGAGAGAACATATAAAAATTCAATTCGTTTTCTTTTTTTAGATTTCTTTCTAGAAAATAATCTTCCTATCGTTATTTATATGCATATTATTAATATCGGTTAATTGAAAAAATAATAAAACGTACATATAATAACATATATTATTAAAAAATTTATCACATTCAATGATTTGACACACGCCATCACACAATAACTGCCAAGTTAAAATGCTGTATAATACATATTAGATTCAAAAATGGTTGGCAAAACCTATTAAAGTTCCATGAAGTAGCAAATTTATAAAGCTTGATATAGAAGAAAAATCATTGTGCCATTAGATAAATGACAAAAGTATTGTCGAGAAAAATTCTTGTACAGTGTTATTCTTACACTAGACATACAATTGTTCCAACAAAGAGCACAATATGCCTATTTTATAAATGTAATTTAACAGATATATAGAGATATATAAAGATTTCTCTATGTGTAATAGAAAAAATCGAACAGATTCGCGAAAATAGTAAACAGGAACACAAGTTACATCGTCATGCAAAGTATAGAGAAGTCATTAACACACGTGATTTTCATCAAACTAGTGTTAGAAAATTTGTTCGTAGTCGTATTATTAATCTTTCTTTAATTTAAGTAATCATGCTGCTTGATTTGTAGATGGAAAACTGATTTAATAGACCAGGTGATATCGGACATATTTTACACTTTATATAAATTCTAAAAATCTCGAAACCAGATGTAAGTACCGAGATTCCGAATTATGTGTGGCTATATAACAATTCATGAATTCAAACACTTTGAAAAATCCTATAGTTTGAAGAAAAAGCCAAAAACTCTTAGGAACGCGGAAGCTTTGAAATGCTGAAGACTCACTGGAACACAAAACATTTGGCATTTGAAGAAAATTCGATTTCGCAAATACCCAACATGCAACCGTTTTATGTGAAAATGTTTTGTGTTCCCATATCTGTCTATTTAGCAACTCATTCTTAGGAGATTGGTGCTTTCTCTCTATAGACGATCATTCAGTATCCAAATATATTTTAAGTGCTCTCTCTCGACGTGGACTGTAACTCGAAGTAGTAGAAAGCGGCGTTAACCGTGAATTTTCCTTAACAGCGATCTCCATTACCTCGTCAGCGTTCAATTGTTTTGGCTTTTCCCTATTATACCCTAAAAAAAAAAGCCAAAAATTTCATAAAATTAAATAATATTTCATTAATTACATATTTTAAAAAAATATATAATACATACATACCTATATAAGAAGACAGCACCATCTTCAAAATTGAAAGATAAACTATCATGATGTTCATTCCAATCATGCTCGTTTTGGATTCGAAGCACCGAATTGTCACATGGAAAACTACCTTTTCCCTTTGCTATATCTATATGTTCTTCCGGAATATCTGATATTGAGGAAAGCTAGAAAGGAAAAGACAATAATAATATTATGTTCTTTTATCTTCTTATTGATGTAAAGATTTTCTTAACTTACTTTCTTTTTTAGTTCTTCAACAGTTCTATTATCCATAATAATTTCTTGAAATTGCCCCAATTGTAATTTTGCTGGCAACCACCTTCTGACAAACAAGACAATTTGAGTAGTATCTGTGACTGTCTCTTTATCTGGTAGTTCTTGAACAATCATTTCAAATTGCGAATGAAATCGAAGATCTTCAAACTTCTGTTCATTTAGGAATACTTTTGAGGCTGTTTTATAATACTTTTTCCTAAGTCGGCATTTTTCATATGGTATATCTATATCATATTTTCTTTTTATCTCTGCCAATATTTCTTTCTTTGCATGTCCGACTGTCATATCTTTCGAGACAATCCATTCGCATAAAAATTTGTAAGGCTAATAAAATAAAATTTTAATCCATAATAAGATTTTTCAATAACAATAAGATAAAACATAGAATTTCTTTTATGTGTGTAAAATATAAAAAAATGACAAACCTCAGTGGAATCAATCAATAATTGATATAATTTTACTTTAAATTCTCCATTACGCAAAGCTCTTCCGAGTTTCACATTAAGTCTCTCACCATCCTCATACGAATTAAGTTGGTCTGTCAAACAGCTACATTCCGTTTCACCAGAATTTGATAGACGGAAAACTTTAAAATATTCCACAGGTACACCTACGAATGGTTCTAAATCTTTCTTCA